CAATTGAATCCATCCTCCACACTCTTGAACTTTACTGATACAGTATACCTACCTATCAATTCTTCTATTGCTTCAAGCACTTCATCCTTCCACAAAATCACTATACCCCCTGAAGCCCCCCAAGATGGAGCCTCAACCCATCTTATTCCTYTCGCTCTCCACAAACTACTGATCACCCTTCGATCCAATTCTGTTAATTTGGTCTCTTGCAGCATTACCACATCAGGACCCTCTCTTTTTATTAGGTCTTTTATCACACTCCTTTTCCTTGCACTTCCCAAACCTCTCACATTCCATCTAATTAATTTCATGTTTTCACTTTTTAAATTGAACCCTCTTTTTATCATACTCCTCTTGCTCTCCATTAACAGTAAGAATGACACATTGGGTAAAAACTTCGGATCTTTTTTTCTGAGAATTCTCAACAAATGACATATTAAAATCCTGGACTAAGTGGTACAAACAGTCAGACTTGCTGAAAGCATAYGATTGGATTGGAAACATCCAACTTTGAATAAGCTAAAGTTGAACTTTGATGGCAGCTCGATGGGCAATCCAGGAAGGGCAAGAATAGGAGTTTTTGGAAACCACCAAGGAGAGGTGTTGCCCTATTTTCAGGACCAAATGGTTTTGGAGATTCAGTTCAGTCTGAAATCCTGCTCTCCTACAAGGTTTGAGACTTGCAGTACAGCTAGAAGTAAGGGAWTTGATAGTGGAAGGAGGCTCACAATTAGTCATCTCATGGACCAAAAATTTCAGTTCAGCTCCTTGGAGATATAGACATGCTTTCAGGGAAATTGATATCCTAGAGGTTCAATTCTACCTTTAGCTGGATAAGAAGGACTGCAAATGGGTTGGCAGATGTTTTGGCAAAGCAAGGAGTTGACAGGCCTAGTTTATTTTGGGCAAAGCTATAATCTGATGTATATTGGGGCTTCTATGTAAATCTAATGACTTCATCACTCAGGAAAGAGAATTTGCGTCTGAACTGCAACCACAAAATTGTTAGGAGAAGAGGGTGCTGATGCCCTGTCTCTAGGACAGCCAATGGACATCATGACAGCCTTGCAGCTTGTGCTGAAGAACTCCATGGCACATGGTGCTAAGGTGATTGAAAAGCACATTGCACAGCTCTGT